GCCTAAATCTGTGACAGGGATTTTTTTTTTTTTTTTTTTTTTTTTTTTTTTTGGAATGGCACCGACTGCTCCTCCCCACGTGCAATGAAAAAAAACCCACTCTGCATCTTCAAAACATAGAGCAAAGCTGAATCCATTTAGGTTCCGGACAAAAAACGCTAAAATTGTGGCAAGGGCCAAATTCTGAGCTCCACCAAAACCTTTTCATACAACTCTGAGCACGTTAAAAGCTTTCTGAGAGGATGTCATTACAATTTACAGCCCCTTTAAAGTGCTCTCACTCTGCCACAGCACTGTAAAAGGATTTCGGGATAGAAGGAGAAGAGTATCTGAACATTTATTGGTCTATAAAATATTTGCTTAATCCCCTAAGGGCAGCACGTACTAAATTTAATAACGGGAGCCACCGTAGATCATGGCTCCACGCAAAAAAACCCTCCTTCAAATTGCACTGGGGGTATTTTATACAGGCAGTACAGGCCTTTAACAAACACCCATTGCTAACAAACCCCTGCACGAAACGCAGAGAGGCTTTAGAGTCTTCAAAAGGCATTTTCTAAAAAAAAAAAATCAAATAAAAAAAAAAAAAATCAATTTCTTCACGCCAGCCTTGTCTCGGCAGGCCGGGAAGCATCCGCAGCACAGGGATGGAAGAGCACGGCCACCCCTGGCTCCCTCGGGCAGGGGCTGTGCTGGGATGGGGAGATGCCACCCCCCCAGATCTGCTCCCGGGGGTGGGGGGCACCAGGGTTTTATCGGTGTTAGACACGACGGCTTCACCGTGGAGCAGCAACGGCGCCGAAAGGAGATCGCTTGGATCAGGTGCTCATTTCCAAAACATGAGAATATTTATTACAGGAGCACTTGAGCAGGAGAAGGCTAAAATTTGACATTAAGAATATATGTTACCTCTGAAGGAATAGTTTTCTCGGCGTGTGCTGCCGTGACAGAAACAAAGGAGAGGTGTAACGGCTCCCGAGATCCCGCCTGGCGCCCGCCTGCCCCCCACCCCACGAAGCCGCCCTGCTAACCCAGGCTGAGGTTTCTCAGCCACGAAGGTCCCATCCATTCACCAGCTCAATCTTATTTACAGATCACCTAGCAACTATTCAGGAGGAAAACAGCACGTTGGAAAAAAAAAAAAAAATTAAAAAAAAATCCCTCCGCACCCCTAAGGTGGTTCCTCTCCAGGCAAACTGAAAGCCAGCGGATGAGTTTTTCTTTCACATAAGATGCATCATCCGTCTAAAATGTTTGTAACCACTTTAATATTTGTCAGTGATGAGCTACTGTTTGTGTTACGCAGGAATTTCCCCCCCCCCCCTTCTCTCAGCGGGGCTGACGGGGTGATGCAGGGCACAGGGAAGCTCACGGGGGTGAGATAACGCAATTTAAAAAAATTTTTTTTTTTTTTTTTGCGAGCGTTACCATTCAGCTGCACAAGCGATGACGACACCCACAATTTATTTACATCCAGCGTCTGCAGGCGAAGCAAAAGCAAACTCTTACTCAACCCTCGCACCACGCTATAAAAAGGGATGAAATAACACCCATCAGATCCGACAGGCTCGCTTCTCTGCGGCCTCAGGCTCGTTCCTGTCGGACTGACCCCGCCAGACTGTGTTAGCGTTAAAAAAAAAAATAAAAAAATATAAGAGCCACTCACCAGCCTGCTCCAGCGCCACCAGCATCGACTGCTCGATGAGGTCTCGCTCGATGAAGCTGCGGAAGTCCTCGTGGTACACGGTGAGGTCGGGCAGCTGGAAGGTGCAGATGGGCATCTCCAGCAGATGTTCGCTGCTGCCGTTGCTGGAGACGTGGGAGCGGGCCAGGGAGACGATGGTGGAGCTGGCGTGGGAAATGCCTCGAGACAGGCGTTTTTCTGAGAGGAAAAGATTTAAAAAAAAAAAAAATAAATAAAACAACAAACCACCTGAGCAGTGCCGGAGCCGTAAACCTCACAGAAGCAATTATCAAATCGCTGCCTTCAGCCTGTAATATTTTTTTTTTATTTTTTTTTGGTTGGTTGGAAGCGGCTGGATTGCTCCAGCGTATAAATATTTCAGGCACCAGAAGGAAGATTTAATTGATCCGTCTCGTTTTGGTGACACTGACCTTGCACGATATCATCCTGCCGCTGGAGCGGCGGGCGCCCGGGACGAGCTGCCTCTTTTTCAGGGGGTTTGTAGCTGCGTCCTTCGTTGAAGGAATGGGGCAGGTTGCCGGCGTGCACTTGCCGTAGCTGCTCGAAGTCACTCAGGGCCGCGCTCAGGTCCCAGTTCTTGCCTGGATGGGAAGGTGACAACAGCGCTCACCGTCACACGAGAGAGAAATCGAGTCAGTCCCTAAAAGATCCACGTTAAAATAAAAAAAACCAAACTATAATAGCAGGAAGGTTGTCCAGCGGAAACGGGGCGGAAAGCGGGGTGCGGCACCCCTCGTTCAGCCGGGCGCTGGATTTCTGCTCGGGATTTGCATTTCTGGAAGAGATCCAGCCATGAACGTGAAGAGCCTGGAAGGGGTCAGCTCTGCTGCCACGGGGCACGGGGCCGGGTCACACCTCGGGCGCACAGAGGCTCATCCAGGGCTTAGGGGGAGCTACTGCTCCTGGATTCTACCTCTGCACAACCCAAAAGGTCTAAAGACCTCAAGTTTTCACAGAATCACGGAATCGCAATGGTTTGGGTTGGAAGGGATCTTTAAAGGTTCGGTAGTTCAACTGCTTGCCCCGGGCAGGGCCACCTTCCCCCAGCCCAGGTTGCCCAAAGCCCCGTCCAACGCGGCCTTGAACCCTTCCAGGGAGGGGGCAGCCCGTGCCAGGGCCTCGCCCCCCTCCCAGGGGAGAATTTCTTCCTTCTATCTAGTCCGAGATACAATTTTTCCAGAAAAAAAAGATTCCTGGCTCTAAAACGAAGAGGGGCAGAGTCACCGTAACAGCATACGCAGAGCACGGGACCGGAGTAAAATAAAGATAATTTTGCCCTTAAGAAAGGGAAATGGAAGATCAGGCTGGGCAGTGCCCACCAGCACCCAACCAAACCGAACAGCCAACGCCGGGGCGAAAACACTCAAGCCTTAGAGCTGATGATGATCTGCAATTCAAATCTGTCCCCACGGGTGCAGTGACAGCCACCCGGCTCCGAGCTGACGCCCAAAGCGTAGGCGCAGGCGCGGTGCCGCCCGGGCTCGGCGCGATCCAGAAGCTTTCCCAGCGGGTTTGTGCCACTGCCGGCCAGATTAAATTACTCAGCAAAAGAGCTTGAACTTCGTGGAGTTGAGTCAAGCAGTTCCATTTCCTTTTAACTACCCAGCGAGCTGCAAGAACTTAATATATAGTAACGTGCTCAAGTCTTCCAGCCTGCAGTAAATCGACCTTTGAGAAGCCACCATCTTCCAAAGGCAAGAATACACCACAATAAAAAAAAAAAAAAAAAAAAAAAAA